ACTTAAAGTCCAAATGGATTTAAACTCAACTATCTCAGTTATAGAGATTTTCTAGCTTGATCTTCTAGACTTCTATCTTCATCTCTTAGAGGTCTTTTATTGTTTATGTTTCTTACCTTTATAAATAGAAATCTCTATCATTATAGCGAAATTTAAATATTAAAAATATCTCTCTCTCTCTCTCTCTCTCCCTATGTTCTTATCTCTATTATTGTATTTGTCTTTGCTATTTACTTGATTATATTTAGATTGTATTTCGAAACAAAAACAATGAAGGTCCAAATTAAACTATGAGACATGACCCATATTTTTAATGGAACGGTCCAAATTAAACTATAAAACAAGACCCATATTTTTAATGGAACGGCCCTGATCTACCGTTAATATAATCGTTTCTATAAATTTAAAACACACATAACATAATATGTTAATTGTAGATAGAGTAAATACCCAAAATGGTCCCTCGACTATAGCTAAATTCACAAATTGGTCCTCGACTTTCAATTTCAACCAATTAAGTCCTTAACTTTGCAATATTGACACGATTTGGTCCTCCATCTATTTGACCGTTTGTTGACCGCGATCTTTGAGGATATATATGTAGTTTCGCGTGCAAAGCTCAAGAGAACGCTCTTGGATGTGACATCGTTGTTTCGGACGGGAAGTGCTTCTCCGCTTGCTCCTTGGGGATCACGAGTCGGTTCAGCTTAGAGAGCGCTCTTGGAGGTGATGACAGCGCCGTTTCGGAGGTGGGAAGTGCTTCTCTGCTTGCTACTTGGGGGTCCCGAGCCGGTTCTGGTTGCCTACATCGCTTGGATCACGGCTTTTTCGAAGAGCCACTCCAAGGACTTCGGGGCTCTATCTATCAAAAGCTATAATCTCTCTGGTATGGGGTGCAACGCCGGTAGTTGATTCAAATGTAACAGTGCAGTCTAGAAATGCAACCGGAACCTTAAAAAACCGACGATGGACCATGAAATTACATATATATCCTAAAAAAACGCAGTCAACAAACGGTCAAATATACAAAGGACCAAATTGTGTTAAAATTGCAAAGTTAAGGACTTAATTGGTTGAAATTAAAAATCGAGGACCAATTTGTGAATTTAGCTATAGTCGAGGGACCATTTTGGATATTTACTCTTGTAGATATAAAATATATCAAACTGCAGACACATATTCTGATAGTACAGTTATTTTGAATCAAGTTTAAGAATGCAAGATAAACTCTGCTTCATTGTATAATTTGCTGATAGTTCCTAGCTTGAAGCAAATTGGTTCATAGCTTAGCACATTTGATTTGCCTGATCCATGTATCCCTGTAAGGAAGATTCATGGACTCTAAACACTAATTCTTTTCTTGCACATAATAATCAATAAAAATAATATAATATGTACAACATAAATACTAGGTCAGCCCTAAGAAATTTGGTCGAAATGAACCTATGTTCATATTTGTTTCCTGGAAATTCAACACATTAATTTCTCCATAAATTTATCATATAGTTAATACTTTAATTATAATGACTTTTCACATTTAGTACTTAACTTTAAGATGTGAAATTCAGTTAAATCAACTCAAATTCAAAGAAAAAAAATTATAAATTGTCCCATATTAAGAAATTTAAATTTTTTTTAGAGATTCAATAGTGAAATGTATTTTTGTTGTGTTTCTTTAATTTATTCAGAATGATTTAAAGTTTTTTCTTCAAATTTAAAATTATTTAAGAGGATGGAATAATAAAATTATGTTTTTAACCTTGTCTTACACTACTAATTGCAAGAAAATCTATGGTGGAACCAAAAATGACAAAATCAAAAATGACAAAATCTTTTATTTGAAGGACTAAAAATGCTATTAACTCATTTTCAAACAAATAAAGGGATTACCCCTTACTAGTCAAGTTGCAATTTTAATTAAACCCTTTGTACCATAACATAGTCTCTAAAAAATGATTCTTTATTTGGTCATAATTTATGTGAAAGCGATAGATACAACAATTTTATAATATATGATAATTTATCATAACCTTATTCAACGAGGTACTTTTATAGCTAGAGGTGGTTGGCGATAGCTGCGATTTTGATGGTGCTTTTTTGCATAACTAGCTACTAGGTGGGTGACATTTTTTCACATCGTTTTGGCTGGATGGTTAGCTACTAGGGGGACACAACCATTGAGTCCCTACGATTTATATTCTCCTAAATGTTATGTCGATTTATATTCATAATTTTTGAAACTCTATGTTCACAATTTTAGAGCTCTATATACATAATTTTATCACTATATGTTCATAATTTTAAGTTCATAATGTCAGAGCTCTGTGTTCACAATTCCATAACTTACATTCATAATTCCATAACTGTACATTCATAATTGCATAACTGTACATTCATAATTCCATAACTGTACATTCATAATTCCATAACTGTACATTCATAATGCCACAAACGAATAACGCCGTTAACAGCGAGACAAAATCAATTTTTTTTTAACTGGAAGACCGCGTTTTCCCTTAAAACGACGTCGTTTTGGACTCGTGTCCACAATGCATTGTGGACACGAGTCCACAGCATAATTTGCCACATGTACACAACATGTTAAAGTTAACGCCTTAACGGGTTCAAATTTTTAACACGAACACAATTTGTTGACGAGTTGACACGACATACAACATTTTGTTAACAGGTTTCGGATCGTATCGACATGATATGACACGAAACATGTTTAAACCCGCTAAATCTATTAATATATATTTTTTTTTTAAAAAAAAACTAAATTTAGAGTTAAGTTATATATATTTAAAATAAAATAAAATAAAAACACAAATCAAAACAAAAACAAAAACAAAACAAAACAAAACAAAAAACAAAAACAAAAACAAAAAAAACCTACAATTCAATCCATCATAAATGATAAAATAACATTCAAAAATCATAATTGAAGAAGCTCGTAGTTTTTAGAATAAAATTGAAAACAATAAAAATTCAAATTTCATATTGTTAAACATCAATAATTGGTGTAAGATCTTGGCCTAATATAGTAAATTCATCCGTAGTCGATGTTCATGATATCTTTTATAATCTCATTCATGATAATGGTTCTTAGCGGGATATAAACAAGTTTGTGTAAACGGGTTCATATAAACGGGTTAACACAATAATATTAACGAATTAAACGGGTTCTTAATAGGTTTGACCGGTTGACCCGTTAAGACACGAAACATAACGGGTTCTTAACGGGTCAACCCGTTAACGACCCGGGATACGTTAAGGCTAAACACTAACCCGTTATTTTCGTGTCCGATTACGTGTCGTGTCCATAATTGCCAGGTCTAGTTGTCATCATAATAAGCCTATAAATACAGGCTTTTCATGGTACATTGTGGATCAGACTAGTCATATATTTTTTTAGTTTTATATTAATTCTCCTTCTACTTTATTTTATTATTCTATTTTTGTCTTTCCAATGGATGGTATCATTAGCCACCCGTCTAGCCCTTTTTAAATTTTAACACAACCTACATATTATGACTCTATGTATTTGAATCATAATCTACCCTCGGAGCTGAGGACGTAAAAGTTCTGCTCCTCAAGAGACAATGGCTGGCCGGCGAGCGTAAGTTCTTCAACCAAAACCCTTGCTTTTCCGATGTAATCAATGATTGACGCATCTCCCTGGTGCAGCGACTGCAGCTGGCCGAGTAGGATCAAGCCGCAAGAGCGAGACGACAGCGGTAGTCCAAACCGCCCGGTTAATATGATGATCAATGACCAACGACATCACCCCATCGAATAATGATGACATAAGCATGGACAAGAGGGCCTGATCATGTCGAACCCAAGCTCAATGCGCGGGATTGGGTTGCGCTGCCGTACCATCTTCACCGCGGAAAGCAAAGCCGGCGGACATGGGTTCGTACCATCAATGTACCTCATTAAATCATGACCATCGAGAAAACGAACAATCTGGGCTCTCCAAATTAAACAGAAAGTTCTTGTAGGTCAGTTTGATACTAATAAAGTGGTGAGCGGTGGACAAAAAATTCACGATCGATATGATTGAAGAGATACCACTATTGGAAACGGTCCGTTCTGAAGATTCAACAGATCCGCCAGCCATGGTAAAGAAACCCTAGCTTTAACTGATACGATATGAGAACTGATAGAATTGTATTTAGGAATATAATTACAAATGTACAGATTACAGATATATATAAAAAGAGAATTTACTAAGTGGCTTGTGGTCCACTGGTATTGGATTGTTCCCCTAAATGAGAGGTGATAGGTTTGAATCGCAGTAGCGTGTGATTCCCTCTCTAAAAAAGGAGTTGTATTTTTAATTATACTCATATTCATTTTTCTTTTCAATGTGAGATAAAAGTATATTTCAAGCCTTTCTCTTTATTTTTTCTAACTCAGATCAATATATTTTAATAATTCATTTCTCATTCACTCATTATCTATTTTATTGAACATATAATATATAGATTTTTCTTTCTCTTTTTTTTTTTTTTCTAACTCAGATCAATATATTTTAATAATTCATTTCTCATTCACTCATTATCTATTTTATTGAACATATAATATATAGATTTTTTTGTCTCACTTTCTAGAATCTAAATCCATTTTGACCCAGGCCAATACAATCAATACCGGTATTGGAATTTGATCAAATGACCACCCATTGAAATGTCAACATGTACACATACATGATATTTATTACGGAGTATTTAGGATTACATTTGCTAAAATAAGTATTACATTTACATATTGACATGACCTGTACCACGGATAAGGATTCGTGAGACCCGTCTTTCCTAAAAGGGAGATCAGAATGTAACCCCATTTAAATTAAACATTTATTATTTTCATAATAGAACAATATATTATTAATTTACTTGATCACAAAAAAGATATGTTTCCTTTTTCTCTCATTTTGTCCACTACAAATACAGTCCAATCACCAATGCATTTATCCAAATCATATCATATTCAACATGGCATTTCACTCCAAACAATGCACGATCTGGTTTTTCTTGGCACTGGTTTTTCTGGTTTGCCAAACCTCGGCAGCCGCCATAGATCGTGTCCAGAAGCTCTGTGGCTTCACGACAGACCCCCCTCAATGTCTGCAACTACTAAGACCCGACCCACGCACGGTTAACGCCACCTACAAACAGCTCGGGAACGTATCTTGGGAGCTGACGGTGGCGGCCACGGCTTCCGCGAAGGACCTGTCGAGGTCTCTGCTGGAACAGGAGAAAGATCCGAAGGTGAAGCCGAGGTTCGCAGGATGTCTGGAGGCGTACCAAAATGCCGAGGCGTGGTTAGGGGAGTGCGCTAAGGAGATTTATAAGGGCGAACCGTATTGTTTGCTTCAGCTGTTCGGTGAAAATCGGACTTGCCGGGAGATGTTTAAGGAGCCGCCGGCGGAACCCACCGCGCTTAAGAATGTGGGTGACAAGGTGGATTTGTTAGGGAATATGGTGAATCTTGGGATTACTCTCAAAGATTATTAGTTTGTGGTTTGAAATGTGAAATAAAATGTACTTTTTCTTCTTTCTTTTAATTTACTCTATTTCTATTATTTAGTTTATTTTTTCTTTCTCGAGAATGTGCTAACAAGAATGAGATATGTGTCTTTCAGGTATGGTATAAGAATTAAATACAACGAGTAAATTCTTTGTTGGTTGTTCTTATAAAAATGTGCAATTCTAACTTTTTAAATCATAATAATGATAAAAATTCTAACTTTTCATATCAAAATCATTCAAATTTCTCATCCTGTTGAGCATTCATATTCACACTTTAATCGCCTTTTAAGAGTTACAAATATCTACAACTGTTTTTTCACCACTTCTGTTAAATTCTAACATATAAGATGTTAGAGTATCTATATTAGTAAATTTTTCTTGATTTTTTGTAGGCCCCATAATAGAAGTGGATGAACGAGAAATTTGAGTTTTTAACATTATATGGACTGTGTTTAGTTGAAAAATTGATAGAAAGAATAAAATTAAATAACAATATATATAATATACGACTTATTATTTAGTCTATTTACTCGTTTTTCAATTTGACTTAAATAATAATAAAGCTAGATTGCTTAGGCTGCCCCAGCTGGCCGGACTGCAAAATATATTCGAAATAAACAATTATTAATACCTTCAATAATTTTTAAACTCATTAATTTGTTATCATTCTGCGTAGTTTAATTAAAGTCTATTTTATTATAAGATATGTATAGAATTTTATTTATATTAGAAAATAAATTTTCGCACAAATTAAAATAAACTTAAATTTAAAAGATTAATTTATATTGATAGAAAAATTAATCATAAAAATTAAAATTTAAACTTTCAATTTATTCTTATTTGTAACTTTGTTTTAGCCATTAACATATATTTAAATTTAGTTTTAAAATACATCTGACATAATTTATTTAATTCATTTAAGTTTCTCTCACGGTGTTGATCATTCATATTCACTTTTTAAAGTTCACAAATATTCATCACGTACTTGTTTTCGTTCCCCTACTACTTCCGTAAGTTAGAAAATCAGGACCGAATGATTTTCCAACTCTCGCCCGCTTACCGCGTCTCGGCTCGAGCTCGGGTTCTCTCTCGGATTCCCCACTATCATTATCCATAGTTTCGTCAAACGTTCGTTTTGACGTACTTGGTCCCTCGTTGGACCTACAAGGAAATATATTTTCGAAAAAATATGCATTCCTTGATTCTATTATCGTGTTCTCGTGTACATCCGGATTATTGGACTCATGTACTAAGAACCGATAAGCACTACTATTATGTGCATACCCAATAAAGATACAGTCCACCGTCTTAGGACCTATCTTTACTTTCTTAGGTGTTGGCACCAAAACTTTGGCAAGACACCCCCACACTTTCAGGTACTGGTAGGAAGGTTTCCTACCGTTCCACAGCTCATAAGGAGTCTTATCGAGCTTCTTTCGGGGTACCTTATTCAAAAGGTAATTACTTGTCAAAATCGCCTCACCCCAAGCATCTTGAGGTAGGCCCGAACTTATAAGCATCGCATTCATCATGTCTTTCAATGTACGATTCTTTCGTTCGGCAACACCGTTCGATTGAGGTGAGTAAGGTGCAGTACGCTCGTGTATTATACCTACACTCGCACAGAAGTCACCAATAGGTGCTTCGTACTCACCACCTCTATCGCTTCTAACCTTCTTAATTCTCCGATTAAGTTGGTTTTCCACTTCATTCTTATAAAGAACGAATTTATCAACGGCTTCGTCTTTGCTCTTAAGCAAATACACATAGCAGTATCGTGTGCTATCGTCGATAAATGTGATAAAATACTTATTACCACCTCTCGTTTGTATCGATCTAAAATCGCACAAATCACTATGGATTAATTCTAGTGGTTCAGTTTCCCTTTCAACCGACTTGAAAGGTACTTTCGTTAGTTTTGCCTCAACACAAATTTCACACTTGTTATTTGTGTCAATTTGAAAGTTAGGAATATGGTCCATGCTAATTAATCTACGCATAGAATTAAAATTAACATGACCTAGTCTACCATGCCATAAATTGGAAGACTCAAGCAAGTAAACAGAATTAACTTTGCTTTTATTGATAACAGGAATTACACTGAGCTTAAACAGCCCATCAGTTACATATCCTTTACCAACAAACATTCCTAACTTGGACAAAACTACTTTGTCTGACTCGAACACCATGCGAAAGCCATGCTTGTTCAACAGAGAGCCAGACACAAGATTCTTCCTCAGCTCAGGAACATACAGCACGTTGTTCAACGTTAGTTCCTTCCCGGAAGTCATCTTCAGAACCACCTTGCCCATGCCTTCCATAGCAGACTGAGCAGAGTTTCCCATCCACACCTTTTCACCATCAACGGTCTCAAAGGTGTTGAACATTTCTCGGTTGCAACACAAGTGCCTGGTTGCACCGGTATCAATGAACCATTCACAAGGGTTTGAGCCCACGAGGTTCACCTCGGTCACCATAGCCGAAAGGCTAATCTCGACCTCTTTCTGATTGCTATCTCCAACAACATTGGCTTCAGAACTCTTGTTCTTCTTCCTTGGAGCCTTGCATTCAGATGCTCTGTGGCCACGCTTGCCACAATTGTAGCATTCACCAGGAAACTTGTTCTTGGTAATGCCACCTTTCGGACCTAGCTTTCGCTTGTCCTTCTTGTTCCTCCTGGAGTTCTTACCGTGCTCCACAACGTTGGCCTTAGCACCAACAACGATAGGAGCCTTCCTATCATTCGTCCTGTTCCCTTCCTCAATCCTGAGTCGCTGGATTAGGTCCTCCAGATTCATCTCCTTTCGCTTATGCTTAAGGTAGTTCTTGAAGTCCTTCCAACCTGGAGGCAACAAATGGATCACAGATCCCACTTGGAAGGCTTCACTTAGCACCATGCCTTCGTCACGGATCTCGTCAAAGATTAATTGCAAATCTTCTACCTGACTTAGCACGGTCTTTGAATCAACCATTTTGAAGTCGAGGAATCGGCCAACTACAAATTTCTTTGAGCCGGCATCCTCACTTCGGTATTTATGATCCAAAGCTTCCCACAACGCTTTTGATGTGCTTATCTTTCGATATACATCATATAGCGTGTCACACAATCCATTCAGGATGTAGTTTCGGCAAAGGAAGTCCGAATCCTTCCAATAGCCAACCGCCATCACGGATTGTGCATCTTGTTCCTTCAACTCGGGAACACTCTCGGACAAGAACCTTGCCAGGCCGAGAGTTGCTAGGTAGAACAACATCTTCTGTTGCCACCTCTTGAAGTTCGAACCAACACCGGTGAACTTCTCCGGCTTTTCAGCCGAACCACTCGGTACCGAAGGTACCCGAGACATGGGAATATATCCCTCAGTGCTCCCACCATCTTGTGAACCAACGTTCACTGGTGTAGCTTGGGAATTAGCAACATTGTTGCCATTCCCTCCACTATTATCCGCAACAATGTTATTGTTGCCGTTTCTTCCATTGTTGTCCGCAACAACATTATCCTCCCCATCAATTGGCAGTACGGGATGCTCCATTTTCTTCAAGGAAATTTGGAGAAAACAACCAACGGGAAAACGAAGAATAAGGTTTTAAGACTGTTGGTACCGTTGGTAGAAAACAAATAATAATCAAATAAAATTGACTATTATTTTCCTTGGAAAGAAGGGAAGAAAAGATGAAGAAATTTGGCTAGTGTTTGGTGTTGGGTTTTTGCAAGAGTCGAGTGAGCACTCTTTCCTTAAAACCTTATTTGCCACCTCCCGTAGATGCTAGGAGCGTTGTGGCCTAGGCTTCCCAGGATAAAACTTGCTATGATCCAATGTTTGAGCATTCAAACAAAGGATCCGGCGAGCAAGACAATGGCTATGAACACAGTATAGCTAAAGAAAGAGTAGAAGCAGAGATTTTTGAAGCTGGAAAAGTATACTTTCGTGCTGTGTAAAGCTGTGTGTAAAACTCTACTGCCTCTACCCTCTCTTATATAGGGTTGAAGGAGCCAATAGCCTTTATTATGGCAATTAAAAATGACATTAAAGCTGCCTTCCAACAGCTATAACAGCAGGCCACTACCTGGGAATTGAATTCAGAATTCAAAATTGGAATTAATAGACAATTAATTCCGTAACAGATGAATTCAATCCCCTCAACAGTCAGAACTTTCGGGTTCCTGACCGTTAGCGTACAGGGTTCGGTCTCAACTTTCGACCTCATCCAGTTTCGGCCCTTGCACCTTTCGTGGACTCTGTTGCACGAGAGTTGTGCCTTCGGTGCACCACAACCTCTCGTGCTCTCTTGTAGCACGAGAGTAGGACCCGAACCAAGTGGAAAATGATACCAAAGTTTGGCATAACTTAGCCCGCAAGGCCAGCCAATTTCCGGACGACATTCGTGTCCCCAGGTGCCGGCGCACACGAGCTCGGGCTTGAATCAAGCCTTTTTTCAATCTCTGCTAGTTGGAATTTGATTTGCACCCCCCCCCCCCCCCCCCCCCCGCGAGAGAGCCTCTATGCTATACAATTCTACAAGCTTCAAAAGAGCTCTTGTATATAAGGGGGGAAAATCTTCATTCCAAAGCAATGTGGGACAAAAAGCTCACTTTTTTCCCTTCATTTTCCAACTCAAATGGGTCTACTTTGAGAATCAATATCTCATTCACCCATTATCCGTTTTGAGCGTACAATATATCGATCTCTTCGTCTCACTACGAAGAATCCGAATCCACTTTGACCCGACCCAAATCGGAAGTGGACCCCACTGATAATTGTACCACAAAATAGCCACTTAACATGCCATTTTAAGCTTCTTTTTTTTTTTCCCAACATATGTGAGACAGTTTCATTTTAGATACACTGTAGTTTCATTTTTGTTTTGAACACAAAAAAATACGGGTTCTGTTAAGATGTAACGGCAGCCGTTTCTTTCCGTCATTTTTGGACCATGGTCCACGGTATAACGACGGATAAGACCCTATCGGGCTCTTGTGCTACGGATTCAATCGAGAGGGTGCTGGCAAGAATTGAACTCATGATTTTCTAGTATACGAAACACACTCAATCACTCCTTTCAGGACAATCATATCCTATCAAAAAATATAGAAGCTAAGTGATACAAAATTGAGATATGTGTTCTATCAGCTTAATTAAAAGTTTAAAGGAAGATTGTAAAAAATGTCCCTCTATAATATGTCAATTATTAATGTTACCCCTGAATTATGAGTGATGTAAATGTTGTCCCTCAATTATCAAAATGGTGCACATATAGCCCCTCCCGTAACGGCCATGTGGTTCCTCACCGCTATCCATCGCTGGTACTTCGAATTGAGGGAAGAAAAAACAACTAAATTACATATTTACTCCGACTTAACGGTGTCGAACACTAACGGGGAACCACATGTTCGTTACGGGAGGGGCTATATGTGCACCGTTTTGATAATTAAGGGGCAACATTTACACCACTCATAATTCAGGGGTGACATTGATAATTAGCATATTATAGAGGGACATTTTTTATAATTTTTCCAAAGTTTAAATTAATTACTCCGTATTACACTCTATATTTATTATTTATATAGTATATAGTATATGGTCAACACCCATAAACATAACTGAAGAGATTGAATGGAACACAAAGAATCATATATGCATGTTACAAGATAATGTATAGTTGATGGAGAATCAAATTAAAAACACAAATTAAATGATTAAATGTTAAAGTGTAGATGGAGGTGATGATCGATCTGCTGCAATTAGCCACAATCTTGATTTGTTCATCAAATCTGGACTCAACCTAAACATGAGAACACAAAACTCCATCTTATTCAAACACCCATCGCCGTCCATGTCCCCTTCCTTCAACATGCACCGCACCTCCTCGTCGCTCATCGGAAGTCCCAGAATCGCCGACGACTTCTTCTTCAAGCTCTCGAACGTGATAACGCCCTTCTCCTCCTCCGCCAGCAGCCGGAACCCGTCGCAGAGCTCCTTCATGAACCCCTCCGTCCCCAGACTCTCCACCATCGCCGGAAACAGGTCCTCAAACACTACCACCTCGCCGCACCCCACTCCCGCCATCATATCGCTTATGAAATATCTCAAGATCAGAACCTCGCAATTTACCCCTTCCAATGACTCTGAGAAACTTAATGTATCCAACAAAAATATGTCAAGAATTGGAGAAGGAAATAAAGATGATGAGATATGGAGGATGGGAGATGGAGATCCAATATAAATGGCGCTGATAGATGTGAATGTATGTATAGCTAGTTTCTTGCTGTCAAATACGTGGCCGCAGCGTACACGGGAAGAGAGGGTGGTGCGGTGTTCTTTCGTGGAAGTTGCAGGAGGGGGACTTAATGGCCGCCGGCCGCTACTCTCACCGTACCATCTCTATTATTTTGCAACAACAAATATAATTAATACTCTCTGGTCAATCCAACCAAATTGATTAGACTATAGACAATTTATACTGATTTATCTTTTTGTAATTTTTTGTGAGCAAAGGTTACAAAGCAAAATTTATACTCTTGGGTAGCTTATGTGAATTTTTCTGGTCACTAAAATAAAATATAATACTGTGCTTTATAGAATTTGCCGGATTTGTGGATTCTATATTGCAGTTAATCATTTCTATACATATAAATTAATTGAAGGCACATAGTTAATGACAAATACATAATATATCAACTGTAGATACATAATTTAAAAATTATTTTAAACCAATTTTCAAAATGTAAAATAGACTTTCATCCATGATATAAGATAGACTTTAGTCCATGGTATAATTAATTTGCTGAATTTCATGATAGTTTCCTAGAAGCAAACTAGTTTAGATTGATTCGTAGCTTAGCCCATTTGATTTACCAGATCCATGTGTCCTTGCAAGGAAGATTCCTGGACTCTAAACAATAATTCTTTTCTTGCACATAATAATCAATAAAAAATAATATAGTATGTATAACATAAATACTAGGTCAACCCTAAGAAATTTGGTCGAAATGAACATATGTGGCTATGTTCATGTTTGTTTCTTGGAAATTCAACAGATTATTATCTCCATAAATTTACGATATAGTTAGTACATTTAGTTCTTAACTTTAAGATATGAAATTGGGTCAAATCAACTCAAATTCAAATAAATAAATAAAAAAATCATAAATCTTCCCATATTAAGAATCCCAAAGTTTCTTAGAGATTCAATAGTGAAATGTATTATTGTTGTGTTTCTTTATTCAGAATGGTTTAGAGTTTTTTCTTCAAATTTGAATTCATTTAAGATTTTAAGAGGATTGAATAATAAAATTATGTTTTTGACCTTGTATTACACTACTAATTGCAAGAAATTAAAATCTATGGTAGTGCCTGTACGGATTTAGCTTAATGGTTCAATAGGTAGAATTTGGGAGAAAAGACTAACGGCGGTGTGTGATTATGCCTAAATGGGCAGATCTCTTGTGCGTATCGACATTTGACCTTGTTTATTGAATTATTGAATCATCGTGATTTATATCGTCCCAAATGCTATGTCGGGTCGGGTGTGAAGACCTTGGAGTTAGGATTCAACCTTTTGGGAGAATAAGAAAATCTATGGTATAACAAAAAATGACACAAAATCAATGCTTAAAAGGACCAAAATTAATTGATTTTAAAGTTAAGAATCAAAAGTGATAAAATCCTATATTTGAAAGACTAAAAATGCTATTAACTCATTTTCAAGCAAATAAATTACCCCTTACTAGCTAGTAAAGTTGCAATTTTAATTAAAACCCTTTGTACCATACAAGGTTGCAAAACTCGGCCGCCTAGCCGCCTAGGCGTTAGGCGGCACCGAGCCTTAGAGTTTTGGTCTAAAGGCGGCCAAAACTCGGCCTATTCGGCCGAGTCGACCGATTTCGTCTGATTTTGATCGTTTTTTTTTTATCAATTTTGTCTGATTTTGTTCGATTTTAACCGATGTCGTCTTTCATTAATTATTGATTTTAATATTATTATGAAATTAGGACTTATAAATTATCATTATTTCATTTATTTAGATGTGTTATTTGAGTGAACGTTGAAAACAACCTCATTAAAATTGTCGAACTACAAGTCTGTTACTATTTTTTTTAATTTTTTTTGTGTCCACCTAGCGCCACCTAGACCGCCTAGGCGCTGCCCAGCCGCCCGACTAACGCCTAGCGCCTACTGCAACCATGGTACCATAACATAGTCTCGAAAAAAAAGATTCTTTATTTGGTCATAATTTATGTGAAAGCGATAGATACAACAATTTAATAATATATGATAATTTATCATAGCCTTATTCAACGAGGTCCTTTTATAGCTGGAGGTAGTTGGCGATAGCTGCGCTATTGATGCCTTGATGGTGCTTTTTTGCTTGACTAGATCCTAAAAGTCGGTTTGGTAGTGTTTATTTTAAGCTCTTAATAAACTATAAGCTTTGCTTGGTAATATTTTGAAAAATAAACGTTTAGCTTAAAATAAGTTAGAGGGTTCCTAATTTATTTATTTTTTTCATCTTTATCAAAATGACATATTTTACCTTTCTCAATTAAAACTTTTTTTTCTTCTCCTTTATCTGGACATTCACTAATAATAATAATAATAATAATAATAATAATAATAATAATAATAATAATAATAATAATATTATTATTATTATTATTATTATTATTATTATTATTATTATTATTGAGTTAATACCCAAAATGGTCCTCCGACTATTAGCTAATACTCGATTTTGTCCCAAAGTATTAACCGTACTCAATTTAATCCTCTAACTTTTAGAACAATACCCAATGTGATACTTCGATAGAATTTCCATCCATCCACCGTTATTTTGAAGGACATATACGTCATTTTAGTTGAAGCCCTTCTTCCCCACCTCTTTTTAATTTTCCGTTTCTCACTATTAAGTCCTCGGCTACGCCCAATTCCCAGTTTGGGTAAACCCCGATTTAGTCCGTCCAGCAAAACACATGCTTTACACTATTTCTGGCTGTATATGTAACCACATCGTTCACAATTTTCTTGTTCTGGCATTTTTGTGGAAGTCGAGATCCTGAAATCCTCACCAGATTTGATGATATCCAGTACGGATCGTGGTCTGATTCTCTCTAAATCCTTAATGAACTCACGAGCAAAGCCACGGTATGCATTTGGAGAGTAAATGCATTCAGTGGAGAAGTAATCCAACTTTTTAAACTATGCATACATAACAATTTCCTTCTCGTATGTGTATTTGAAAGGCTTGCATCTAGGAATGGGTCCATCTTCTCCAATAACTATAGATATACACCTACTCAACCTGGCAATATCACCACGTAATATGTTCAAAAGAACTGTTTCAGCTATATCATCTGCATTATGCCCAGTTACTAGCTTGTCCACTTTTAGCAATGCATCACCGCGATCAAGGGCCTGGAGACGGAAAACACCACAAAAAAGTGCAGTTGTTCTTCAGACCTATCAACTTTATTATTTCATCCATTTTCCAGCTATACAGCTCCTTATAGGAAATAACTTTCACTGGAAGTCCATACTGGATTTCATTTCTTTTAACAGTTTCAAGAGAATCATCCCAGTAACCAGTGATACCTTCATCCACAGATAACAGGAAGAGATCCAGGCCATAATTGTGCCTGCGATTCAACTCTGACATGACATAAGCAAGCACCGTGGAGTCTTTCCCGCCAGAAGCACCAACAGCCATGCGTTCGCAGGGCTTGAAGAGCTGGTTGTCGACGATAACCCTTTGGATCTCCTCCTCGAAAACTTCGTAGAAGCACTCCCTGCATATTTGTTGAAGAGTTTTAGAGCGTTTCAGGGCGGCACGTCTTTCATTGCAGATAACGCACTGTCTACCCTTCGGTTTCGCCACCGCCATCGCCGACTCCATGTAGATGGCAACTGCGCCGCCGCTTGGGTTTGGGTGCTCATTGTTCGCTGAGCAGCAGGGCCTCCAAGACGTTGACTAGAGGAATAAATGGGTTTGGACCAAGTAAATTGACTTCTTTACCCTCAAAATAACAGTGTATGGATGAAAATTCTAACGGAGGATCACATTAGGTACTGTTTTAAAAGTTAGAGGATTAAATTAAGTATGGTTAATACTTCGGGACAAAATCAAGTATTAGCTCATAGTTGGAGGATAATTTTGGGTATTAACTCTATTATTATTATTATTATTATTATTATTATTATTATTATTATTATTATTATTATTATTATTATTATTATCATTATCATTATCATTATCATTATCATTATCATTATCATTATCATTATTATTATATGAAGGAGATTCGCTACAATATTGCTATTTCATTATAGGATGCTAGATCATAATTATGCTAATAGTTTTATTTCAAAATGCTAATTTTTGTAAAGACAAAATGTTAAATTTTAATATGTAAAAAACTATTTTAAATTTTATGAAGATGTCTTTTTTTTTTTTTTTTGTCTTTTTACATTTATCAGCTTATCAAAAAGCTAATTTTACCAAACACTTTCAAGCATAACAGATAGCTTAACAGCTCTTCAATTTTTAGCTCCTATCTTATAGATTTTCAGCTTTCAGCTCCTTTTGAGCTTCCAGCTACCTTTTCAGCTAGGTTTGCCAAACATAGCCTAAGTGGGTGACATTTTTTCACACCGTTTTGGCTGGATGGTTAGCTACCAGGTGGGCAGATCCTTTGGGCACATTGTTAGATATATTAAATGTAATATATTTAATATAATATATATTAAATATAATATAATATTTTCTATAAGATATATTAAATATAATATATCTATATATTATATTTATATATATTGAGAGAAAGAGAGAGAGAGAGAGAGAGAGAGAGAGAGAGAGAGAGAGAGAGAGAGAGAGAGAGAGAGAGAGAGAGAGAGAGGGGGGAATACTTGTAATTCAATTGATGATTAAAATGATTGAATGCATAGCGTATTTATAGTAAAATAATAAAGCTAAATTTTAGGATTAAAGCTCCATGTACTACTAATCCATGATGCACGTACATACTGCATTCAAGGGACTCTCCACGTTGCTATGCTGCATGACCCATGTAGCTTTAATTTGAAACAAACTTTTTATACTTGGTTTAACAATTATAATAATAATATTATTATAACATTGCCTCCTTTAAGTCAAGTTGGATATATTGGTCATCCCAATTTTTTTCTTCAATTTGAGAAATGTCTCCGTCTTCAACGGCTTCGTAAAGATATCTGCAACTTGACATTCACTCGAACAATACTCAATGTTGATTTGTTTTTAGTAACCAACTCTCTGATTTTATGATACTTGATATCAATATGTTTGCTGCGACCATGAAAGACTGGATTTTTGGACAACGAAATTGCTGACTTGTTGTCACAAAAAATAGATGTAGGTGCTTCCTTCTTGT